TCCGCTGAATTCTTGCCAAGCAAGTCGGTGGGGGGGCTGTGATTGGCGCTCGAGTCTCTTGCCCTGCCTGTTCACAGAGTAAAAAGCAACAGACCGGCACGTGGCTTCATCATTGCATACTTTTTTAAAATTATTATCATCTTTGGATTCATCGCTGAACCTCCGCCAGCCGGTCAAATTAATTTGTAATTTAAATTAAATGACAAAGGGAACGAGCCCCACAAAACAGGGAAATGGGACTCGGCAGAGTAACGGTTCTTAAAGACCAAGAAACTGGCCAAATAAATACCCCCCCTCTCTAACTCGTGGCCGATCAGAGCTTCTCACCGTTCCAGAAATGTAAACTTGGCAAATTCAACAGCGGGTGGTTTGCGGAGCAATGCTGGGCCTCTTGAGGCACCATGCCAGCAGAATGCCTCTCGGGGGTGTCCTGATACTGGGGGGGGGGGATTCTTACACCTTCCCCCCTCCAAAGAGGAGTGACTCGAGAACGTGTCACAAGGACCCAAAGAAGACCCTTTACGCTTAAGAGTTTGCCTTGAGATCAGACCCCACGCAGACGAACAACGCTTATGCAGCTGAAAAACATGGACGGAGGGGAAAAACATTCGGAGAAGGAGCAGATGAGAATATATTCACAGTTATGACCGTCAACGTAAAAAAAAAAGAGAGAGACAACTGAACTTCCAATGTGCAACTGTGTTAAATATACAAACCGAACTATAAAACAATACAAAGGGTGGGTGGGGCACAGCCTTCAGCCGTTGGACCCCTCCCCTTACCCCTTTCAGCAGCATTCCCACACCCGCTGCTCGGTATCTTCTTCTGAACTAGGGAATTAGGAGCAAAAGAGGACGGGAGTTGGAAGAAGGTATGCAGAAGCCTTGCCCACGGAGCCCTTCTCAAACGTGGCTCCAATTAAATGTGAGGAGGGGGATATGGAGAGGAGGGCAGAAGAAGCCCCCCTCCAACCCCCAGGTTTAATTTCTCCTGAGGGAGGGAGGGAAACGGGGACACAAGAAGGTCAGCTAAGCTACAGTGGAAGACAAGCAAGCATCGTTTGCCGAACGCTCCCAGGTTGTAGAGATTGAGATGGCGCAGAGAGGAGAGGAAGGTGAGGTGTGGGCGACTTGTTAGACCAGGTAGCCTCTGCTGGTCTTCATGGCTGAGGTCTCCAGCGAACCGTCTAACCGTTTTTTAAAAAAACCCTCCTTGCAAACAAGAAAAGAATTGGTCAGCTTCCTACCTTCTATTGCCAAAAGGGGGGAAAAAAGGAGAAAGTAGGTTTTGAAACCTTTCCCCTTGCCATTTGTACCGAAAGCTCTCCGGGGGAGAGTGGGGATGCCTTTCAATCTGGCCTCTTTTCCAATTTGGAGGCATTTTCGATCCAACCCTCACCCATCCAGTCCTTTTGATGGAAAAGGGGAGTGGGGAAAATAGTCATCGTGGCTAGTGGAAGGTGGGGGGGAAATCCTCTGGTCACTTCTCAACCTTGTTCTCGGGCGTCATCGAGGTGACCGCAGTGAGATTTGCCTTCGGCTCCAAGGACGAAAGAGCCGGGGGTGGGGGGAGAGAGAGAGAAATACCATAAAAGGAAGAGAGAAGGCCATAGGGAGGGAGAGGGCAAGGGGATATCCCCCACCCACCCATGCTCTTCTCGGGCTTCTAACACACACTAATGTAACTCATGCATTTCTGATTTCCTAACTAAAGGCTCCTTTCGTCTCCGATCCCATTAGCCAAGGAGCAAACGGTTCCTTCCCGCGCGCAGGCGAGAGGCAGCCCTCGGGAACCCGTCCTACCTAGGGGCAGGGGGGGGGGGGCGCGCTGTTTTCTTCTTTTAAAAAAAAGGCCCTCTTCTTCTGGCCTCTTTGAAATCCTCCCAGCCCCCTTGGCAGGTTGTTAACTTGGCTCTGCGTTGACGGCCCAACGGGAGCCACGCCCTCAAAAGCAGGAGCGATCGGGTTTACTTGGGAACCAGCCCGCGAGACTGCGGGTACAGCTGAGAGCTGGAGGTGCTGGAGGGGGAGCCGCTGGACTTCCTTCCGGTTCTAGGCCTGGAGGGATACAAGAGGGGGGAGCATGAAAAGCAAATTTATTTTTAAAAATCGGCACGTTCACGGGCAGGAAACAAAGGAAAGGCGACAAATCAGGATCTGAAATTGCATTTTTAACTAGCATTTGATTTGTTGTATACAGGTGAAACTCGCAAAATTAGAATATCGTGCAAAAGTTCATTGATTTCAGTAATGCAACCTAAAAGGTGAAGCCGAGGTGGCACAGTGGTTAGGGTGCAGCACTGCAGGCCACTGCAGCTGACTGTTATCTGCAGNGGGCGATATGCTGACTCTGTAAACCGCTTAGAGAGGGCTGAAAGCCCTATGAAGCGGTATATAAGTCTAACTGCTATTGCTATTGCTATTTAGTCTAGCATCTTGTTTCATTTTGGTGGTAAGGGCACCGAAGTAAATGCTTCTGTGGTACGAAGTAAATGCTTCTGTGGTAGTGGTTTTCAGAGTTACCACTGTTTCTATATATGGAGTCCTGTGTAATTATTGTATTTAGAAGCCTTTGATAGACCAATTCTTCCATTAAATCCTTCTCCATCACTTTTTGGAATGTATTCTGTTCCCAGGATCACTCCTGGGCTCAATAGATATTCTATGCTGCAACTACTAAGTATCTCTTATTGGCGCAAAGAAATTTATTACGCAATGCCTGTTTGTCCATCTTTTTGAGACACACTGACATTAAGTAGAGATTTCACTTAAGAATAATGAGTCAAATGTACTGATTTTTCTCCATAAATATGTGACATACTGTATTTTTCAGAGTATAAGACGCACTCCCCCCCCCCCAAAAAAGAACATGGAAATGTAGGTGCGTGTTATACACCAAATACATCCATTTTTAGCCTCCCGAAGCCCCGTCCCCGCATCCTACTTTTATGAAAATACCCCTCAGGAGCACTGTGCAGGCTTCAGCAGGGCTGGGGGAAGAAAAAAATGCCCCCGTTTTGGTGAAAAATGGACATTTTTCCCTTCCCCCAGCCCTGCTGAAGCCTGCACAGTGCTCCTGGGGGCCAGGGAGGACAAAACTTTTTTTTTCTTACTTACCTCTTCGAAATTTGGTGCGTCTTATATTTCACAAAACGGTAGTTTCTGCCATAGTTATAAAATATCTAATTGAACCTGGCATTCTTCTAATATTTTAGACTGCAACTTCTATCGGCCCTGATAACACCGCTTCCACCACAAATGCGCGAACGACAAAAGCGCACCTCACTAAACCGCTGTGACAAAACCGCGCCGACAAAACCCCGCGACGAAGGAGCGACGAATGAGCCCTGAAGTGCGCCGACAACAGCGCGCCGACAGAAGCGCGCTGTAATCTAACCCTAAACCTAACCCTAAACCTAACCCTAAACCTAACCCTAAACCTAAC